ACTGAAATCACCCTCAGTGTAAATGTCCTTATATAGTATTCACATATGTCTACATACCGTATTGCTTTGACATATATGCAGCTTTGACATATATATCATAGTATTATTTAGCGTCATATATGGCATTAATTACGGCATCTTTTAAAAATGACTAAATTGAAATTATTATATATAGCATATAATTTTTAGGGAAAAGAAAACAAAAAAAATTTTTTTCAAATTAAAATATAATAAAAGAGAAAATTAAAAAGAAAAACAAGTAAGGACATGATATTCCGGCAAGCGCGGCCGTTAGATATACTATACTACACCAAAAGTTACCCACTATATTCACTTTTCATGAAAAAAGCTCAGATATTGGGTGGATGCCCGCCGAAACATCACATGGCCTATTCCAAATTTCGCAAACCTAATCTATTTTCCAAAAATTTTATTATTTTTCAGTTTCCGTCATAAAGAACTAAGAAGTATACTTACTCTCTCTTTAGCCCCTTATTTATTCGGATCTAAGAAATAGACCTATGTGGACCAAACTCCCTATGTGGTCCGTTAGTTTTTTTGCTAAACTACTACTGTGTTTCAATTTTCATCACAAAATACTAAAAATTAAACCAACCTTGCTTTGAAATGCTTAGTATTCATGAAAAATCTTTTATGGGTTGGTTGGTAACCCATATGGTCCAAATTTTGCCCACTCAATTTTTATGTCATCTGCGTCAATTTATTATTATAAACCAATGGAATATTGAATCCTTCCCCTTATAGGAATTCATAGGAAAGCTTGTTGAGGGGGTTTCCAAAAGTTGACCCCATCAAAGCAATTTAAAATATTGAAATACTTCATTGAAATTGATTCAGCGAATTTTGTCCAGTAATTTCGAAAATTGCGGCTGTTCAAAATAATGGTCGAGAAAGTGAACCGATCGGCACAATTTCCAATGGGGCTCGTTCTTGGGTCAAGCATATAGGTGTATCAAAATATTTCAAAAATTGCGATCTGCAGCTTAAACACAAAAATACATGGCCTAGATGTCAGATGGACGGACAAACTTAGATCAATTCAGAAAATGCTTCTTGATCCAATCGGTATAATTAAAAGTGCTTCAAGGCCTTCTGAATGTTACGCAGGACCGCATAAACAGTTCATCTGCCACCTGTGGTGTAGGGTAAAATATAAAACGCATTTAATTTCTGACGTTAAACGGACAGTGGGGAAATTCTCCTCAGGCAATGGCGGTGGATGCAATGAAAATTAAATTAAAACTGAAACAAAATTCCTTTTAATGCGAGTAAATATTGTAAGTAGAATACTTGGCTTATACCGCAATATATTCAGATTATCAGACATCAGGATTATAGCAAATAATGACATCGAAACTATAGATTACAAGTAAGAAAATTGTATTCTGTCGCGGATCGAACCTTTTATACCTATCATCGTTATTCTAAAAAAGACTGAAAAGAGGGAAAAGAACTAAACTTTCATACTCTCTAGCATTGGGTGGGCACGGCCGATTTTTTTTTAAATTCAGAATAACAGTGAAATTTTATATGGATGTATGTAGGACATCTCATGGTTTTTTTTGCATGAGTAATGAGCGATAAACCAATTTTTTATTCCTTGTGTGCTCTCACTTTACGTAGTACTGTAGGTGTTCGTGGGTCAATGCGGCCCGTTTTCAATACCGTCTTGCACAAACTTTCAACACAACAACGGACATGCTTAAAACTATTTAGGATTTGATTCCGATCGAGAATATATATACATTAATCCTGTTGTTTTTTTTTAAGTATACAAGCTCTCCAAAGTTATTTTTATAACCTACACGATTTGCGGTAGAAGGCTGCGTTAAGTTTGTGCGAATGTACACAGCACCCAGAAGGGCTTGAGACGGACCCAATATTTAGATTTATTCATATGAATCGATTCAAACAACACAAGAGCACAAGAAAAGAAGCCAGACGGGACAGATAAACTTAGATCGATTTAGAAAGTGACCTGAAATGATCTGAAAAAGTGACCTGAAGTGATCTGAAGAAGTGATCTGAATCGATTTAAGTTTATCTGTCCGTCGGTCTTGTTTTCTTGTGTTCACCTCATAAGTCATCTTATTTTCTTTTGTTTACCTCACAGATATTTCGTTAAAATTTAGTACACAGGTATGTTTTGGCCCAATGAGGAACGATATTAAGAATAGTTCGAGTACTTCCCTTACAAAGCCTACTTTTGAAAACTTAATATATGAATAATTGCTTTAAGCAAAGTGGGGTAATGCGTATTTAGAGGCCATGTCCCATTACGGTGTCTTTACTTATTTCAACTCTGTGTTATTCCCACAACAAATGAGAGCCACCTTAAGAAAGTTTTATCGGAATATCACATATGTATAGTGCGCACGTAGAAAAGTACGAATAGTTTCTATATATTTATTGAATTTAGAAAAACCTCGCCATGATTAGAAAGATGCTGTAAAAGAGAGGGTTTATCGTAGAAGATTGAATGATGAGGAAAATTTTGACCTAGTTTTCATTGCACCCCTCGCCTTAGATGTTGAAATCATAGCTTCAATGGACATCAGTACCGAAGCATTTTAGGGCAACAAAGGTCAGACAACGTAACCATTGCATTGACCAATTAAATGCTTCGGGACAATTCACTTTTGAAATTTAATCGATTATCATTACGAATTTATGCACAGATGCATTGGAATAAATAGTTGGCAAAAGAGAGAGAGAGAAAATATATATATATTCTTTAATAACGCGCAGTCACGTAGGTCATAAAAAAGCAATAAATAAACGAGAAACAGCCAAACACAGCTAATTAACAAACAAGACAAGAAATCCAATTATTTTGTTCTTAAAGAAAAAAAAAAAAAGCTCTCTTTCCTTCATTTCTATCAAAAGATTAATAGATAATCGCAAACTAAGTTAAGGGGTCGTCTTTAATCGAAAACCAGTCAAGTCGAAAAGTTAAAATTGCTTTCGAACGAGTCTATGACACTCAACTAAATATATTAGATTTGAAAAAGGCTTCATTGACAATTGGGCGATCAGAACAATTTATTCTTCGACCAATATATATATATATATTAATATTAACTGAACACATTCACATATACCACAACTTCGAGCAATCCGTTCGCTCCGTTGGCAATCTTCTCGCTCTGGAGAGGTGTTCTGTTTTAAAAGGCTTACATGTTAATCTGAAACTTTGCACATCTAGGAATCCTAAACTATATATTCTTGTCACTTGCAAGCGTAGTCCTACACATCTTCCAACCGAACTTGTTGCCAGTCTTCTGCTAAGTTTTTCAGTTGTAGGTTTCAGTTTTCGAATCGTGATCGTTTCAATAATAACAGGCGGCTGGTCGGACTAACCGATAGGCGAACAGAAAGTTACACAAGGACAGATGGACGCATAGATAGATAGAAATGAAGAGACACAAAACAGAGGCGAACAAGCTAAGAGAGAGGAAGGCAGACTAATAGATACCGACAAGCCGCCAGAGGTAAAAGAGTCAAGGAAGAAAGATAAGTAGGGGCAAACAGACCGAAATTCACAAACGGACAATTTACCGGAAGAGTAAGGCAGAAACTGGCGGACGTTGTCAGCCAGATGTAAAATGGCGGACGGACAAACCCATGCAGACAGACCGGCACCTATACACAGAGTGTTAGACGGACAGACAGGCGGACCTAGAGAGCTAAGCAGACGCAGACAAGCGCTTGTAAATACAGACGGACGGACAGACGAACAGATATAGACAT